GGTGCAAATTTCAGAGAGCTCTTGCGAAAAATGAGAAGCCGCCACCACACAAGGACAGCCTGCCTGATTTCGTAACTGAGGAATTGGAGCCTGTGTTTAGGCGGCTGAGCGACAATGCCCTCTTGGAAAGGTGCAGCGATGGGATCACCCAGAACCCAAGTGAGAGCCTGCACGCTATGATTTGGCAGCAGGCCCCCAAAACTCAGCATGCATCCTTGCGGAGCATTAAAAGGGCAGTTGCCGAAGCCATCAGCTGCTTCAACTAAGGCACAACCAAGAGCAACGTGGAAATTGCCGAGAAGCTGGGCTACAGCGCTGGCAATCACTTGGTGCGTCGCAGCCTTGAGAAGGACAAGGGCAGGCTGCAAAAATCGCCAAGAGAGCATCTCGACAGCAGTTCAATAAAGGAAATGCTTTCAAGGCGTCACAGGCCAGTAGGGGACTCTGCTTACAGCCCTGGCCTGCTGTAAACAGTCATGATGGCAAATAGTGAGAATTTTTGCAAAAATAAATATTCTTGGTTTTAGACATAAACATTGTGTAATCTATTGTCTATCCAAGGACAGCATTATTACATGATTTTTTTGTGTTCCTTTCACTTACAAAGCACTGGAACAACCACAAAGTAAAAAAATAATAATTCTCATGCTGGGTCAATGACTATTTTATAGTTCTAGAACAAGCTGTGAGCAGTATTCTTAGTGGGTACAGTGAAATTTAGCATGGCCATTTATCTATAATATAGAGCTACAGGATGATGCCATTAATATTGCTGTAGCTTCACTTTAGCAAAAGTTAAAGTTGCTAGAAACCTCAAACGCATTTTTCTCAGTTTGATGTTTTTGCACATTGCACTCGGGGGTTTTTCCTATGTTAAACTTGAGTGAATGCGACAAAGTTGGTATCATTTTATTTATCATGACATGATCTAGGGGGTGATGCTATTTCTATTTCTCTAGCATCACTTCACAAATTACCATTGAAGATTTTAGTGAGAGAAATTTGTTGTAATATAGTGACCATAAGTGTTTGCCCGTTTTCTTGCTTATAAAATGCCTTCAACAGGATAAAAATAGCATCACCCCCTACAGCAAGTCTCCAGCATTGGGATTATGCATTCACTTTTTGGATTTAGCAAGAATAAATTGCCAAGAAGTCCCGTAAATAGTACGCAATAATTTAAAATTCAGACCTTCATATTTTCTAAACCACTTGAAATATTAAGAAACAAATTAGAGATTTGAAATCATCAAGAAAAACTAGCTTAGGTAGTGAAGCTTGGTCAAGATTGAGCGAAAAATTAAAAAAAAAAATTTTAGAGCCCACGTCCCCCCTAAGCTCCAGTGCAGCAACTGCGAAAAAGTTGGTTCAAAATGGAGCTCGCGACAGGTTCGTGGCAGCAGTAACTGCAACCCGTTTGAAATCAATGTTCGCATGGCGCGTGCGGTTCAGAGCACAGGAAATCATCAGACAGCTCTGAATGATATCTTTGCCGCTATCGGTGTTTCACATCGGGGCCGTCACACGAAAACCTACCAAGAGTACTTGAAAATGAAGCTTCAGCCAGCAGCAACGAGTGCTTGTGCCGAACATTTGACTAAGTGTGCCAGAGTGGTAAAGTGCCTCTACAAGGACCTCAATTTCGGCAACTCGAGAAATATTGCCGTCTCTTTTGATGAAAGCTCGCACATAAGAGGACACGCCTCTCACATTGGAACAGCCACTGTGATAGAAGTTTTTCGGGTTATGTGCTAGACTATGTTGTGCTTTCTAATTTTTGCCTCTGCTGTGAATGTGGTCCGAAACCCGAAAGCCTAGAATACTATGAATGGAAAGCCAAACATTCATGCCAGAAAAATACCTCATGCAAGGCTGGCCAAATGGAAGTAGAGGCAGCAATAATTTTATTTCAGCGCTCCCTTTCGCTTCATTGCCTCAGGTACACCATAAATGTTGAAAAAGAAGACTGCTCGAATCACGTGCAGAAGTCCACAGGGACTGCACTTCAGGACTTCATGCAGAAGCACAAAGGGGACAGCAACGAGCTCATCAGTGGCAAGGGCCGCCTCACGAGTGACCTCATCACGAAATTGACGAGTTATTATGGCTGGGCTTTGAAATCCAATTTTTGGAATGTGGATGAGATGCACAAGGCTGTGTGGGCTACGTATGATCATGTGACATCCACTGACGAGAAATCAAACCACAGCTTCTGTCCACACAGCCCTGAGTCTTGGTGCAAGCATTATGCAGCCATGGCAAGGAATGAGCCCATCATAAAAAGCAAGTACAATTTGCGAGAGGCTGTGAACAATGGACTGTGTCCTGTTTATGAACGCTTGTCCGACCAGAAGCTTCTGCAGAGATGCATCAGAGGGAAGACGTCGAATGCGAATGAGGCCTTGCATTCGGTCATTTAGAGCCTCTCACCGAAGGACAAGAACGGGTCATTGTTTGCCGTTGAGAATGCCATGGCAGATGCTGTTATGTGTTTCAACTTTGAGAACAAGGAATCTAGTTCCATTATTTCGCGTGAACTGCAGCTAGCTCAAACATGCACAGGTAACCAGCGGATAGTTGAGAAAGACTATCGCGGTGCCATCGGCTCAAAGAAAAAACGTGCATCTTCAGCCGCGTTCCAGGCAGCCGCAAAGAAGAAGCACAAGCAAAAGCCTGCTTGAGACTACTCCGCAGGAGTTTTCTGGGTGATTGTGAATACAAGTGCTGTGGCTTTCATGCATGGAATTTTCATGTTCACAACTTTTTCAGTTTTTTGCGAGTTTCTCAAATACACATTTTTGCATGTCTTGAATTTTGGGATGAGCACTGTGTCGCTAATACTGATTCAATTTTCTTGATCTTTTTTTTTTTGTTTGAATGCTAGGGTATTGAAGTGTGCAAGAAAACCTTGATAAAATGTTTAAGGACATTGTAAATTTTTAATTGTTCCAGAAATCACCAGAGAAAATTTAGAGCTAAGAGACTGCAACATGAAAACTTCATAACTTTGGGTAAAATTTAGATAATACCATGAAATCGCATATTTGCACTATTTGAATATTCAGCAATATACAGGTTTAATTATAGCTCTTTTGATGCATTACTTTTTATGCAAGTCACATCCCAAATTCATAAAATAAAAATAGTAACTTTTTTTGGATTGATGTAAGGAAAATATAATTAAATATTTTCAATCAGTGTACAAATCTGAATATTTCCTGAAAAAATCATGTCTCTAGACCTAATACTAATATATTTCACTATCGGCAAGAGTGGTGATGTTGGCTTGTTGATGATGCATTTGAAAGAAATTTACAAAAAAAACATCACAGATAAAATCACGCATCACTGCGTACGCAGGAACCCCCGTTCCTTGGGTGACAAAGCAATTGAAGGCTTGCTGATACATACATCTCCAAGAGCATCAATAAGTTCGGCTTCTATGATCAACCCAGTCATCTCATTCTTATGCCGACCAACATTGATTGTACTCTGGAACAAAGGCCGGCACCCACACGTGTGAATGTGAAGAGCGAAAAAACCTTCCGGCGGCAGTTTATCCGCCTTGTAATTGTGTTCTCTCAATCGCTCATTCACACACCTCCGGGTTTGGCCGATATATTTTTTTTCCCACATGTGAAGAGAATAAGATAAATAACGAACAAAATGCACTCCACAAATTTGTGTGTATGCCTCCACAAATTTGTGTGTGTGTGGCCTTGTTTCTGTGTGTATAACGACCACATAACCCCTCTAACCGATAGCCATTTGGGGAACCAAACAAATTAGAATCCCCACGGGCATTGCTGCACACATTTGGAATGAATACTATGTTGCAAATGATGCCACTAGATGTCTAGGGTTTTTCACGCAGTTTGTTTAAAAAATGTACAGGAAAAGTTGGCCATTTTGCAACGAATTACTAAACTGAAAACAACTAGCTCTCTAAGCACTTCGAAGAAGAAACTATAGTGCAGCAGTCAGGCTAGTTGACAACGGAGGATGCATAGTTACTCTGTCATTAAATAGAACCTGAAGGGACCACGAAAATGAGTTCTATTTAAGAGAAGCTTCCTTAATTGAGAGATCAACAAGGGTGTAAAATACAGGCCTGAAACCAATCACATTAGAAGAATTTATTACATTTAAGGAGCCGTTCTGTTAATCAATGTTCACTGTACATAAATTGTGAAGGGACCACAAATGCAAAATTTCACACAGCTTGTAAACAATAATTGATTGATTGACTGATATGTGTTTAACGTTCCAAAACCACCATATGACTACGAGAGACGCTGTAGTGGAGGAGTGCTCTGGAAATTTCGACCACCTGGGGTTCTTTAAAGTGTACACAAATCTCATCACACAGGCCTGCAGCATTTTCGCTTCCATCTAAAATGCAGCCGCTGTAGCCAGGATTTGATCCGGCGACCTGCAGGTCAGCAGCCGAGTACCTTAGCCACTAGACCACCACAACGAGGCACAGCTTATCAACAGGTCCTAGTTTAAAAACCAAACAAAAATACCACTCGTGACCCGCCCCTGCAACGAGCAAATAACTGAAGGAGTGCCAAAAGTGATTCCCATTCTGTTTTCATTTACTTTTATGCATGCTCTCTACCAAAGCCCACTCCTAGTAGAACTGAACTCCTCCATGAGAGACATGCACCAGGCAGCAATATTGGTCTTTTATACGAGGTGGCTCTTATAATACCACGTCTGCATTTTGTAATCAACCCCTGTTTCAATAAAAGCACACTGGTGTCTCTTATGACCATTTACATCATCATCTCTTATAAAGTGCTTCAACTGCATCTCACAATGGGAAACAAACGAAATTCTTCAACGACCCGATAAAAGGCATTCTACCAAGCCTCCTCTTCGGCCTGTTGAACTTTTTCCAAACTCAGCATCCCAAAGAGTGATAGTTTTGTGGCGACATGTGCTGCTCACTTGTACACAACAGCGATTAACAAAGCAGTAAACATCAGCCCAGAGACCTGCTCGTTCTTGTTGGGAAGCTGCAGGTTGGTGCGCACATCCTCCTTCATGCGGCGCAGCAGGTACGGCTTGATGCTGTCCCGCAGGGCAGTGGCACACCGGTATGCTGTCCGCACCTGCGTTTCTTTGCATCAGACTTAGTGCCAAGAGGGTTTGGTCGGCACTTTTCGATCTTGCAATATCACGTACAAAAAAGGTAGCGAAATTTAAGGGCTCACAATAGCAGTTTCAAACATTGGCGGTGGCAACAGACAACTACAGTTGTGAAGCACAATTTTCTGAGACAAAAATTCCAGGCAGAAGCGCAAGTAAAACAGCACGTGAAGTGTTAGAGGCCTTTTTCATTGAGAAAATAAAGATCACTGTGTAAGCACCCTTTCAATTTCGTTGTTACCAAGCGAACTTCAGTTTATCGCTCTGAAGCTATGACATCGATTAACTGTACGTTTGATAAGTATGCTGTTGGCCTTCTATGATGTCTGTGCGCACAATGTGTCCTGTATATATTCAAGCCTTCAAACTATGAATAAATCAGTTGTAAGTGGGCACTGTCTGTGTTTGATGCATGGGTGTGTGCCTGTGTGAGTGATCGTGTTAAGTTTTCGCGCTCAAATTAACTTTTCTAGAGTCAGCTATTCATGCTGAAATATGAAGAATTATGATTTTCAAGTGTTAGTTCAATACGTTCATAATTTTGCCAATCGGCTGTCGCATTTTGGCACTTAAGGGAAAACAAGGGTCTTAAATGGCTGAAAATCACGAAAAAGTCGACTTTTTAAAGCTGAGATTTTCAGAATGTGTACCTATTTTTGCACTAATTGTTGATGTTTCTAGCTTCTCTCATCATTATTTTTGGTGCAAAATCAATTTATAGCACCCCTGTGAGATGAATGTGAGCACAAATAGACATTGAAAGTGCACTTTTTCTATGCCCAACACTTGCCGTTTAACATGAGCTATCAAGGCCATCTTGGTTTTGTTTGAGGACCGTTCCTCATCTTTAATTTCCTACCACTGTTGGCTCGCCTTTTGTTACATGGGTAGATTAATGGATGGCCGAGCGGTAGTGACTACCGTGAACAGAAGGCCATCAGGCCCGCGAAGAACATGAGAACATGTTGAGCCCATTGCCCAGAATGAACTGTCTTTATTTTTTCAAAACGGCCACCCACCGCTGTACCAGGCTTGCACAGCTCAACACAACTATCAGTGCCGCGTGGGGGCGCTGCATTTGAGCTAACATTGTAACACTCCTCCCCCCTTCGGAGGAAGACTATGGGGAGTACCTATTCATTGGTTTCCTAGTCCTCGTGCCAAATTGCAACTTCGGCATGCTAGGCGTAGGCACGACAGAGTCACTGTTCACATGCACACCACTGTTGAGCGCAGTCTCATTGCTCTCCATGGCCCCGCTACTTCCAGAGAAGCTAGTTACAGGTAGCTGTTCCTGATGAGGCACTTCCGGAACAGCTGGTGCATGGAGAAGTGGCCGCTCCAACTGTCGTGGAGCTGCAGCGATAGCAGTGTCAGGAGAGGCCAATGTTTCTGTCTGCACAAGGCATAAGTGGTCGCTGTGGTGTCAGTTTCCTAAGGTGCCATCTTCAGAACCGACACTGGCTGATGACAGAGTGATGTCCACAACACTGGCAGGCACTCGGGGTGTACCCCTGTGAAAGTTTCACACGTACACGTCATCACCTGGCTGCAGTGATGGAGCCTGCTGGGACCCTCTGTCAGCATACAACTTCTGCTTGAGTTGTTTTAGGAATACAGATGCCTGCATGCTTGGCCTCAGGACATCCAACGGAGTCTTGAACATTCTTTCCGTCAAAAGTTCACACAGTGGCCAACCTGTCACTTGATGTGGTGTGGTCCTATAGTGGAACAGGAACCTGGAAATCTGCGTTTGGAAGTTCCCAGAGCCAAACTTCTTGAGTTTGTTCTTCACAGTTTGTACAACTCGTTCAGCTGCACCGTTTGAGACAGGGTGATACGGCAGTACAACCATGCGGCATATTCCATTTCGAGTTAAGAGCTCAAGGTACTGGGCACTGGCAAAGGCAGGACCATTGTTGGAAACTATGACATCAGGCAGGTCACGCTCAGCGAATGCAATTCTCAAGGCAGAAATAATAGCTTCTGCAGATGTGGAACACACAGGGAAGACTTCTGTCCACTTTGAGAACGCATCCACAATAACCAAGAATGTGTGACCTATGAATGGTCTCCCAAATGAATGTGAAGCCTTGACCAGGGTCACAGTGGAAAAGGACACGGCGTTTGCTGAACCGGCAGTGCAGCTTGATGTTGAGTCTGGCACGTAGCGCAGCTCTTCACGCTGTTGGCAATGTCATTGTCAATGCCTGGCCACCAAACATGGCTCCTGGCAATCATCTTGCTCTTCTCGATACCCCAGTGACTGGCATGAAGAACACCAAGAACTTGGGCCTGCAATGACTTTAGGATCACTACTCTTGATCCCCAGAGTAGGCAGCCCTCATGGAGACTGAGTTCTGAGCTTCTGGTATTGAAAGGGTTCCACTCTCGTCCTACTGGGAGGCTTTCTTCTTTCAGAACAGCAAGAACAACATGGCCCAGAAGTGGATCATTTTGTGTGGCTTGGGCCACAACACCTAATGAAAGGAGTTTGGCATATGCCTCCTCTAGCAAGAAGATTTAAGCAGGTCGTGGTAATGCAGTAGTGTTAGTTGGGAGAGGCAGTCTACTAAGAGCATCAGCGTGGCCGAGCTCTTTGCCAGGCTTGTTTACAAGTTTGTACTTGTAATCAGAAAGCTTCAGAGCCCACCTGACCACTCAAGACGAAGCTTGCACAGGAATGGGCTTGTTGGCACCCAGCAGACCAAGAAGTGGCTTGTGGTCAGTGTGTGCTTCCAATGAGATGCCCCACAAATACAGGTGGAACCGATCCACACCAAACACTAAAGCCAGTGCCCCCTTGTCGAGTTGACTGTAGTATAGTTCTGCTTTTGACAAGCTCCTCGAGGCAAAATCGATCGGATGTTCCCGACCATCAGCATCCTGTGCGCCAGAACTGCACCTATACCATGAGGCGATGCGTCACAGCTGAGGCAAACAGATCTGGCAGGGTTGAAATGCACAAGAACTGGATCTGATGTCACCAAGTGCTTGCAGGAAGTGAATGCATCTTGTTGTTCTTGTTCCAACTCCCACTTCTTCCCTTCACAAAGAAGCAAGTACAGTGGACTAGGAGTGACGAAAGATTGGCTAAGAAGCGCCTGTAGAAGTTGACAAGTCCCAAGAAACTCTGAAGTTCCCTGACATCCTGAGGCACAGGAGCATGCAGAATGGCTGCTACCTTGTCAATATTCAGGGGAAAGGCCTTCCTTGCTGATGATGTGCCCGAGACGCTCAACTTGTGGCAAGAAGAAGTGGCATTTTTCAAGTTTCAGCTTGAGGCCGGATTCCTGAAGCTTGCTAAGCACAGCACAAAGGTTGTGAAGGTGCTCATCATCATTTGCGCCAGTCACAAGAATGTCGTCGAATAGACTACATGTGACAGTCCCCTGAGCAAGTTCTCCATATTGCGCTGAAATATGGCAGGAGCAGATGAGACACCAAAAGGCAACCGGGTGTACTGAAATAACCCCCACATGCGTCAAAATGGTGACGTACTCCCTAGAGGCCTCGTAAAGGACAACTTGCTGGTACGCATCTCACCAAGCCAATTTCGTGAATTTTTCACCTCCAGAAAGCACAGTCCACAGGTCCTCGATCCTTGGAATGAGGTATTGCTCCACTGTTGCCAATGGGTTTATGATGACACCAAAGTCTCCACAGATTCTGATGCATCCATCCCTTTTGGTAACAGGAACAATAGGTGCAGCCCACTGTGCTGTCTTGACTGGAACAAGAATGGAATCTCTTCTTAGTCTATGGATTTTTTGAGTTACTCCATCTGTCAAGGCATACAGCAGTGAACGTAGCTTGAAGAACCACAGCAAAGCATCTGAAGGAACATGTAGAGAAGCTTTAGCACCTTTGAATGTACCCAGGCCTTCTTCAAACACTTCCGCGTAGTCTTGGACTAGGTGTCTAACGTCAGAAAGTGCGTGGATGTTCAGTTCAATGTCGGAGACGTTGATGCCCAGCTCACGCATTTAGTTGCGTCCAAGAAGAGTGGGCGATCCCTCTCCGGTCATAAAAATAGGTAGGCCGGCCTCTCTGGCTTGAAACTTCACGCTGACATCAGCTTTGCGTGAACCATTTTTAGTTCTCCGGCATAGCTTCGCAGAAGCACTTGTGACAGCTGCACAGGAATTGAAGGCAAAAGCTGAAGAAGATGCGACTTGGCCATGACAGAGACACTTGCCCCCGTGTCCACTTCCATGTAGAGCGGCTTGCCGCAAACGTCGACAGTGACGGTGAAAGGCGGAGGCGGCGTGGCGTAGTCGACCGGCCACATGTCAAAAACTTCGTAAGATGAAGTGGTAGCGGCTTCCTGCTTGCGTACAGTATTAACACGGTGACGGTTACTCGACGACGGTGAACTGCAAGCCGAGAACGAAAGTGCCTTGTTAGAGATGTTGCTTTGAGCTTGGCTGTCCCTTCGTCTCGAATCGCGCACCTTCGCCAAATGACCTTGTTTGTGGCAGTAATTGCAGATTGTCCTCACCTGCTTGCATTTTGATGCAAGATGTCCGTCCCCGCAGCGGTAGCAGGTGACGCCCCCAGAACCGGACGAGAGACGGTGAGTCGACAAAGCACTGCTTGTGTTCGCTTGTGCTATCTCACCTGCGTCCTTTTTTGCTGCTTCAATTGCCAGAGCGGACTTCACGGCGTCGTCGAAGATGAGGTCCGGTTTTTCCAGAAGTCTTGCCTAGACATCCACATTGTTTACGCCACACACGACACGATCGCGAAGCATGTTTTCAAGTTCAGCCCCGAGGTAGCAGTGCTCAGACAGGCTTTTTAGTGCTGCGATGAAATTGCTGACGGATTCCCCTTCCGCGCGAACGCGCGAGTTGAAACGAAAAAGCTGCACGACGGCAGAGGGCTTCAGACAATAATAGCTTCCAAGAACTTGAAGAATCTCGTCCAGCATCTTGTCACTGGGCTTAACCAGCTTGACCGAATTGCGGAGCAAAGCATACCTTTTCTGCTTGCAGCAGCTGATGAACACGGCAGCACGCTTGTTTGGGGCGACATTATTCGCCAGGAAAAATGCTTGGAGCCGGTCTGTGTAACAGGGCCAGTCGTCTCCTTCCCCCTCGAACGGCTCGAGGTTGCCGAAACTTGGCATGGTGAACAGATGGCAGAGCGGTGTGGGAACCAAGACTTACATCAAACTTCCTTTCATCCTCTTCGCCAGTTGTTACATGTAGATTAACGGATGGCCGGGTGATATTGACTACCGTGAACAGTAAGCCATCAGGCCCGCGAAATACATGAGAACATGTTGAGCCCTTTGCCCAGAACGAACTGTCTTTATTTTTTTTCAAAACGGCCACCCTTGCTGTGCCAAGCTTGCACAGCTCGACACAACTATCAGCACCGCGTGGGGCATTGCATTTGAGCTACCATTGTAACACCTTTCTAATTAGTTTTTCAGCAAACGCGCGTTATCAAGAAGTACCAGCGCACAAATCTATTTGCTGGTTGGGGCACATAACAAAACCTAGGCATCCGATTGGCTAAGTGGCGTTTTCGGCGTCTACTTCCTCGTCAAGACGAGCACAGGCATGCACCATTTTGTCGTGGTACTGTCGACTGTCTACTGCAGTAAAAAAGTTCCGCGCCACACAAATTTGTGAAGAGGGTGTAGCGATTGCTCGCTGAGAACTTCGGAAAGAGCCACGCTATGGCTCAGGACAACGAAGATGACGAAGTTGCGGTGGTCAATGACGCGATCGCAGAGTTCCCAGCCAAGTCACCGATTAGGCCTAACTGGCACTGAGCCTACAAGCCGGTCAGTTGCCGACGTCACTGCGGCAACAACGTCACTGCGGCAATGTGTTTCAGCCTAAACAGTTAGAGGACAGCAAGTACAAAGCAGAAGTGATGCTACGAGAGATATTAATTTTTGCAGCGATGCAACGAAAGCACAGTCTTATTGCTAAACGCACCGATGCCGGGGTTCCCCTTGTCTGACAAAACGACCTCATTTGTCTATGAACTGCATGACGGGTCGTCAGAGCAGAGTTCGTTGCGCATCGAAAAATAAAAAATCAATCCCTTCACAGTGAACATGCTCACCTCCCGAATAATAAAGGCTACTGGCAATAGACAGAGTGCTTTTAATGATGTGTTTGCAAGGGTGAACTTATCAAGTTGTGGGCTCCATTAAAAAACGTGTCAATCTTACGTGAAAAAAAAAAAAAAAAAACAAACTAATGCCTTGCTACTAATGCAGCCTCAAAATCCACTTCTACATCTACTTTAAACTCAATCTGGACAAGCTGGAAAACATTGAAGTGTCATACGACGGATCACGGGTGACGCGTGCACATTCGTCGCACATTGGCGTCAGTACCCCCAAGCGGCCTTGTCGGCAGGCGAGCACACGTACAGCAGCAACTTGTAGCAGAACTTGACAGAAACAATACGCTCATGCGAACAATCAGTATAAATACCTGCCCGGTGCATATTAATTGATCAAAAGTACGTGTGCCGTGATATTTTTCACTCAAAATGGTGAAATATAGTTTTAACCTTGATTTTGCTCATTTTCTCAGAACACTCATTTTGATCACTTTCTTTGTTTTCTTATTCTGTGAAAAACAGATCTAGGATAGCTAGATCTATAATTTTCTTTGCACAATGTAGACAAATGTGCACAGAAAGCAATACTGATATCCAGTTTTTAATGTTCTGTTCTCATTTTTTTAATTTTATTTAAAATTTCTTTGTTTTTGGTTACATGCGGACAATGAAATTTATTGTGCTGTATTTCGAGAAGTACTTGTTCAACTTTCGATTAGCTTGCAGCATTGCCTTCCTGAGGGTTTCTAGTACCCACATATGTGTTAATGACTATGCAATGTTATGTGCACTAATTTTTATGGTTTAGGCAAACAATATAATGTAATTAGTAATTGTCTCAGAAAATAATTGACTTGCATGAAATATACTTGGATAGTTAAAATAAGCTCATGGAAATAAACAAAGCTGTGCAGTTTCACCTAGTTTGTTCAATAATCAACCCATGTTATCGTTGAAACCCATGCCTCCTCCTTCCCCAAAATAAAAATGTGGAAATGGTCCGCACATATGCGTGGCTATTTTTGGCTATTTTTACTGTTATTGCCTCAAGTTGGCTCTTCTCTGGCTAGTTTTCACAACCTTCTGGCTAGTTTTTCAGTTTTCTGGCTTTTTTTGCTTTTTCAACCTGGCAACTTGAATCTACCCAACTACTACTTGTGTTCTCTCAGCCTGTCATTCACACATCTTCACCACTGCTCATCGTAAACATTAACGCAAGAGAAGACAGGAAACATACATGTATGCATGTTCCCAAAATTACATGTCATCTACCTGGCATCAGCGATAGTTTCATCTTATTGCTTTGGACTTCTTTAGAGGCAGCAAAAATTTGTTCTGCAGGTAACCATGATTCACTATTCCGAGGTGAATAACGCACAGTGTTCTTTGACAATCAATCAATCAATCAATCAATCAATCAAACTTTATTTCAGGAATGCATACATTACATGAATAAAATTCTACAGTACAGAGGAAGTCCAAGAGGTTATAAATAGAAGTGAAAGACATACCTGGACGTCAGAGGCATTGGAGTAGCCCCCCTGTGTGATGGGGACGGCAAACTCCTGCATGAAAACGGGCAGAGTGCCCAGCTTGCCTGGAAAGACAAAGTCCAGCAGGGACCACAGCTCCCGCAGGTTGTTCTGAATGGGCGAGCCAGACAGGATGAGCCGGTGGGGGGTACGGAACTGCACACACACGTTTATGTCCCTTCACATTCTATCCGCGACAACCTTCGTGCAAGAAAAAAAAAATGCTGATGCAGCAATGTTGAAGCGGCACTGGCACAAAACTTTCCAATTGCCCAGAAGTGTAGTGGCTTGGGTGAGTTAGTCATCCATGAACTTACTGTGACGAGCGATAGCAGACGACGCTCGATGCGTGTCTAGCCTTTGCGCGAGGAAATCGAGATAAATCGGCACTGAGCTCGCGGGCGCTCGAGGAACGTGGAATAAAAAAAAAGGGGTCCGACTGTCTCTTCCTCATCTTGAAAAAGTGTGGATGTTTTTCTTAGGTCACCTCGGAACCCAGTATATCCGACGGCCACAACGGCACGTCACAATTGACGCCCAATGGCTTGAGGTGAACTAAGAAGAGGTTTACATCTATGCAGGGACGTCACTCCCTGCGCGCTCCTTTGGCTCAACCACTGACATTTCAACAGCATCGGCTTCGTGATCCCATGATGGTGACGGCCCCATGTTCTGTCGACGTGTTCGAGCAGCTGGATGACGCCGCCCGGTTAGAAGCCTACCGGTCAGCTGTGTCCAAAGTCACTGTCACAAAGACCGAGGTGGGTCAGCTTCGGAGCCAATTGTAGGAACTGAAACTGACAATTCTCAAGGACCACGACGCCACCAAAGACCACGATGCACCAAAACCGCCTTTTGACTCGCAGATGAAAGCAAGTCAAGATCTCTTAAGTAACTTACTTGATCCACTAGTAAACCGCATCAAGCGTCTGGAGTTAAAAACGCATAAAAATTCTGACGCCCAGCAGTGTGTCGATGAATTCTTAAACGCAGCTCGAGAAAGCGACAAAGACGAGCCAGAAGCGATGCTCATGTGTGCATGTCTATCAGTGAAGACGCTTGGGACGACTTTCGAGTTTCTCGGTGAGCTCCTTACCGCATCTCGGGAAAGATCTATACACCTGGTTTAACCAAGTTGACTATTGATTTAGAACCTTCAGCATTCCGGACAAGGTCGCCATACCATTCAATATTTCGAGGCTCCCAGCTAAAGACTTTACATGAATGCGTCACCAAACGAAGGTGGCTAGTATCAGTACTTGGGCTGACATGAAGGCAGCGTTCCACCGACGTTATAACATGGACTGCGATATAACATCTAAACAGCGAATGTTCGGTGCAATGCAACGCGCAGGCGAGTCATGTACAGACTCCGCATACCGAAAGCTGGACCTGATGGAGCAGTGAAATTATCCTGTACTACAACAGGAAAAGCACCAAGTTATCATGGCTACTCTGTCACCCAAGGCAAAGGAGCAGTTTTTTGATAAAACATTTCAGCGGCTAGACAATATGCTAAGCTCCTTTCTGCTCTTTGACCAGATCAGGGATTCGGAGGAGACCATTCAAGTTTTGGCTGCGAAAGAACGCAAAACGCCATCCACATCGCCGTCCGCCGAATGCCGTAATATGGTAAAGCGTTCACCTCGAATGCCTATGCGCCATCGTCAACACGCGGACAGCATAGAGTCTAGCGGTTCCTTAGATGATGAAGTAGCTCAGAGAAAGGTGCTAAAAGAAGGCAATACGAAAGCGTAGCCATCACCATCGTGGCAACCGACTCACTCCGCAATGCGTGTTTTTGAAAGGCCGCAAGGAAATGCCCCGAGAGTTCGTAAACTGTGCTTGAACTGCTCTAGAAGTGGCCTTTTTGTTACACAGTGTCGTCTAGCTCACTGCAAAATTTTCGAAGTGGCAGGAAGATTTCGAATCTTCCAGCTCACAACAGCGGGGAAACGAACAGCTGGTGACGCCAATGCCTGCATGCAGTCTTCAGTAATTGAGCAGGTGTCATGTGTCTCTGACGCTGGTACTTTTTCTGTTCCTGTCGCCATAAACGAACAAACGATTAAAGGTGTCTTGGACTCTGAAGCTGTCAAAAGCTTGATTACGGCACCCATAGTTGACAAACTCGAATTAAACATAAGGCCTTCGTCGCTACGTTTGGTAGGAGCAAGCGGCCATCAGCTACAAAATTTAGGTCAAGTCAGTGTTTTGGTGACAGTGGACGCCCAAACACTGCAGCATGACTTTGTTGTTGTTCCCCAGTTACCTCACGAAGGAATACTGCTAGGCGATGACTTCTTATGGCCTTCAAGAGCCGTCATCAACTGGGGCTTGGAGAGCTTGGCTGTATCAGTTCCCCAAAGGCTATGCAAGGTCTACCTGGTTAGGGAGCAACCACTGCTAGCTTAATTGCGGAAGTTAGTTCCTGTGGCCTGGTATCGCGTGTTGGAAGATGAAAATCATTTAATGGTCATCACCGGGATAAAGCTATTGTACGATCGCTATTCAGTCATGGTGGAGCCCATGGTAACAGATGCATCGGAAAATCAACGAAGGTTTTGATCACGAACAGCTCTTCTCAAGCCGTCTTGCTCCGATATTAGATGACAATTGGCCTCATTGAAGAAGCAAGCAGAATTGAGGATATTAACTTTCTGGAGAGGACTGCCAACAGATCCTCCAAATTTTATGCCTTCCTTCTCTTGTGGACCTTGATGCACCACCAGCTCATGCGGTCGTCGATCCACAGCACCGCTCAATCGCAATAAGAGACGTCAGCTTTAACGTTGGAACAACGGTATCTTCCAATGAGCTGCAGGTCGTGAAGGATTTGTGGTGCAACTTTCGGTTTGCTTTGCACAGTAAAGTACAGTAAAAGCTCGTTAATTTGAACCGCAAGAGAAAGCCACCTTAGTTTGAATTAACGAAAGTTCTAACTAACGAAAGTGAAGAACAACAATAGTACACTGCGAGTAGGGCATATGGTCATATGGTCAGTATGGCATATGGTTTTTTGAAATAGTCTGTGATCGTGGTCTGCCTTCTTTCCTTGAAGGTGACAGCCAGCACTTTTTGCTCTAACGAGCGAATTTGGCGGAAGGCCTTTACTCCGCCTTCTTCAAATCTTAAAAGAAGACAGGCGGCATTCAATCCGGCCATGACTTCCGAAGCAGAGGGCCAGACTGGTGCTTTGTCCTCCTCCACATCATCATCACTGGCAGCGACAGGTTCTGCACTTCTCACCTGACATATGTCGTCATCCGTGAGTGCACCACACACCACTGCACTTGAGTCCACATCGACGTAGTCCGCAAAGCAGACATCTTCCAAAACGTCTGCCATGAGGCGGTGACGCCGTGTTCGAGCACTGGGGGCTCGTCAGCTTGCAGAGCTTCAGTGCTGAAGCCACAGTGGCGAAAGCAATTTGCTATCGTAAGTGCTGTCACTTGCTCCCAAGCACGCACAAGCATTTGTAGTGCACTTAGGAGCGTCACTTGGTAGTTACTGCACAAAATAATTCGTTCCAACATATTGCCACGTTCCATTTCCCAAGTTTTGTTATCGTCCCGAAACACTACACAATTATCAGCGTAAACCGCGCCTGCAGTTTTCGAGAAGCTTCCGGACTATAGTAGACCATTTCGATAAGATCACGCCTACTCTGCAAACTATACAGATTATTCTGGAACCTACGCCATCGCCAGCGATAATGCTAGAACATTCGACGGCAAGAGTATAAATGCTGACGCGCTTCGCCGCTTGTCAGTTGTTGATCGACGGCCGACGCTCCGTTCGCCGCTATCAGTCCAAGACTGCTACTGTAATCGGACTTTCCGTTTACCGGGCACAGGTTCACCCAAATAAACAGTTAAATTCCAACGCAAAGTCTCCTGTCTTCGGCCACGTCACGACGCCGTGACAATATGATGCCGATAAAATGATTTTAAATTTCTAATTATACCTTGGTTCATGGGCTGCAGTACCTCTACCGTGTTTGCTGGAAGGAAGGCCAGCTTGTCGTGTTTGCTGAAAGGAAGTGTTTTGGCACGGTATTTGCCGCGGGCACCCGCCATCAAGTCGGAGCATCAGAATCGCGACAGATGGAAAGCTACTACCGGCGCTACCACAACAACTGTTAGCTGAGGCCTAACACCAACACAAAGAATCGCGACAGTCGGAAGCTCTTCCCAGCACTAACAACCGAGGTGTACAACGCACGCTCCAGACAGAGACTGCAGAGAAAGTTGGGCAAAGCTACGACGCACCCAATTTGCTGTGTGCTGGTCTTGCCATCAGTCCTCTAATAACGACAACTACGCAGAATTTTCAAAGGCTCCGAGATTGGCACTTAAAAAAAAAGAAATCTTGGAGGTTACGTAGGGCGGAGAGCAGGCAGCTGCCGAGGGAGAGAGATTGTGGTGGAAGGGGGGTGAAGAGTAAGTGGCGCTATTTTCTGAACTCTGGCCTCCATGCCAGTTTATCAGTTTTTCTCTCCGCTCCCTGTCAACGCCACCTTGTAACTCGGCAGCCGTCCTATCGAGCGACTAGCCAAGCCACCGGCGCGGTGGCGCATAGTTCGAATTATCCGCGGCAGAACCTACTCGCATTCAAATTAACAGACTTTTTTATTCATAGGCTTGTACGAAGCTTGGCCAGACCACAACTTACAGTTTGAATTATCCATATATTTGAATTATCGAAGTTCGAATTAATGAGCTTTCACTGTACAGATGTAGGCTCCTGCACAGCTGAACGATATTGCATTCCAACTGGAAACGCAAAGCCAATACTGCAACGTCCTCGCAGATTGTCTCCAGCACAGCGTGACCTCGTCAAAAGTATGATCAAGGACCTCATTGATGCCAATATAGTGCGACCTTCTCGGAGTCCTTGGGCGTCACCCCTTGTCCTTGTAGCAAAGAAAGACGGGACGAAGCGCATGTGCGTTGATTATCGACGTCTCTACGCCGTCACTGAGGACATTGTGTACCCTATCCCAAGAATTGAAGATGCGCTGCCGGCACTCACCAGAAGCAAGTACTTTTTTGTTATGGACTTGGTGTCTGAATTATATCAGATCGCCATGCATCCAGATGACATACAGAAGACTGCCTTCGTCACGCCGTCGGGTCTTTACGAATTCCTCCGGA